AGGAGGTGCTGAATATATTAATAAAGTGTGTTATTTATTTTGAGATCTTCCATTTATTATTCATGATGTTGTTTTGGAGGGTATGAGACACTACTGATATCCAGCAGGGCTCAGAGGAAATAAAATAATGTGAGAGGTAAGAAGCAAGTCTGTGGGCCTGCAAATATGTCAGTTGTCACTCATATCATTCCATCTGTCTTGGTGCCATCTCAGCTTGTGTAGCATTAGAAACTTGTCTTTGTGCAATGTTTGATATCCCTCTGCTGGCCCTGTTTCAACTACACTATCTGCAATTTCTACCGCCACATCAGTTTAGCTTGCAGAGTCAGTGAGAGAAATTCCAAAAACACCTCAGTGACAATGTCTCTGAGATTCAAAACTATTTGTCAGATTTCATGGGCTTGATCATTAGGTGCATCTGTGTGCTTGCCATCTTGTTTTTACCTCCCCTTTGATCCACACTTCTCTCTTCTCCTACAAGGCATGCTTTGGCCTATAAGGCTTGTGATCGAAGAATGAATTTGTACTTTCAATTCTCGACTACTTTTGGCTTGGGTTCTTGATTCACCCCTGTATCTAGGGTAAGTTAAATAATTCACAGCATGCTTCACCTCAGTAGCACTCTCTAAGCTTTTGCAGATGCATAATATAATGGTGAAGGAGACTGGATGACTGGCTTAGTTATTTGATATTAACTGCATCTCAAAGCTGTATCAAAAGATGAGAAGGCCCACACTCACTGAAGGATGAATCGGATGATGATCATTAAAGAATCAATATATCATCTCTCACCATGGAGCATCATCATCTGTCCATGGTGTCTTTTAACATGTTAAGTCAAATTAGCATTAGTAACACATGGCCACTCAAGATTTGAGCACAGAGATGCTATTATTTTCAACAGAATGCCTGTCTTCTAAAGCAGGTTAAGCCTACTTCCTTTGGCCCACAGGGGTGCAGAGCCTGGGGTAGAGCAGGGTGGTTGTTTGGGCTGAGGGGATCAATGTCCAAGGGCAGTTGTTTTTACTACTAAAGTTTTTTTATTTTATTATTTTAACAAGTTTATGATGTTTAATATGGCATTTCTGGTTGGGCATGTTGAAGCTTAAACAAACAGAATGATGCTAAACATGATATATAAAATAACCACTAAAACTGCAGACTACATTTAGGAGTTCATAGTTTTTTAGTTCTTTGTCCTCCTTTGTCTTGTGCTCCATTTGTGTATGTTATTTGAATCCCAAGACAGACAGCAATGATTTGTTCTCAAAGGAGGGTTAATGATGGTAACTTTCATGCTTTAGAATGTTTTAATGTTTGTTTTCTTGCTTATCTTATTCAGTTGTTTGATCTGTTTTACTTTATGTGATAACTAAATCTAATGGCTTCTGGAGTTTTGAAAGACACTGAACACCAGCTCAAATGTTACAATTTTGCATCTTCATTCAAGCGTACTTCCAATAAGGAAGGTGCACATTTGCGCAGAGATGTTTCCCACTGTGCCACTGACACACTGAACCAGTGAACCAGCCTTTGAATTATAACCTAA